AGAAGGAAAAAATAATGCCCTTTTAAGTTAATGAGGTACTTTATCATTGATAAAACATTTAGCTCCTCTGATCTTCACAACAGACCTCATGAGATACATACTTCCAGTGGTACAAACAGGAGTAGCCTGGTTTCAAGGATACATGGTTATTATTACAGTAGGGGAGCTGACACTCCCTATGGACTCCAGCCCCATTGTTCTGTCAACCCTGTATAAATGCCCCATCTATGTGTGTTTGTATGTGTGGCTATGCCTCTCTTATATGCAGGCCCATCTTGTAAAGAGTCTGTAAGAAGGCAGGAAGGCAGATTTTTATCTCAGTGGCATCATGTTTACCAGGGCCACAAGAAGCTGGACTGCACATTCAGGAAAAAAAACAAACAAACAGGGAATTGGGTCTGAGTTAGCTGAATAATATCTTAGACAAGTTAGCCTCAATCTCCTCAGTAGTAAAATAGTAAGTGGAATACTTTGTGGAATTGTTATAGGGGTCCTAGGGCCCAACCACAGGCCTTGTAGGTATTCAATAAATGACAGCTATTAATATCTTGTATTTATATGATGCCTGTCTGTGTGAAGAAACACATCTGTTTGCAGATAAGGACATCAGTTTGGCATAGGGCCGAGGGATACTAACTTTGTCCAAGTCAAAATAAACCTTCAAGTGTTTTCAAAGAGACTTCATCTCTTGTTCCAGTCTTTCTAACTTGGCACAACTTGCTCTATAATTCCTTGCAAGGGCTTGCTAATGGATTTGCTAGTTAACAGCTATGTGTAATATAGGGTCTGGACCTAACAACAGAGTGCAGAGACATTTCAGGGGCCTGAGGTGCCCTCAGCAGGTTTACAGTTTACATTCTTAGGTAAGGTGACTGAATCACATGGCAGATCCTGGGGATGGTGATCCAGGCACCTTCCAGCTGTACCCAGTACCAGGTCCAGGTACTCTACATATGCAATTACATAACCTTCACCACAGCCATGTGCATAGGCACTGTTCCCATTTCATATGCAAGAGGCTGAAAGGGTACTATGTTAACTTTCAAAGTCATCAGGAGCTGAAATGTAAGGCCAAGACTACTTGGCTTTAAAGTCTGAGCTCTTTCCACTACTCACAGCCCAACTCTGAAAGACTCTCCTTCACGCAACTTTTAGTTAGGCTTCTCAGTGTTTTCTGACTAGGACAGACAGTGAATTTTACTCTCTGCCATTGAAGAGTCCACTTTAAGCAAGAGTCCTGCTAAGTTTAGCAAAAATTTCCTAGTCTTTATGTCTGATCATTTGAAACCTTATCACCATGGCTTGCCTTCATTCAGAGTAATCTCACCAAGTCAGCAGGATTCCCTGGTTATTAATGTCTCTTTCTTCTTAGAATTTCTCATCCACTGCGTCCTCCGTTCCAACTTCTGGATTATAATCTTTTCTTTATTAGAATTGATCCAATCTTTTCCTCATGAGGAGGTTCTGCACGGTGGTCTGTATAAATATGGCCATACAGCCCCACTCCCCCTTGAATAAGGTCTCCCTCACCATCTTTAACAAGTGTTGTGAGTAACTTTTCCATTAACACCTCCATCACAAATGTGTTCATCATTTGGAGTCTAAGAGGACAAGAAACGTACAGATGATACTCCTGAAGGGTAAGGTGGCTTGGGGGAAGAGCATTAATGGACCAGGGGATGTTCCTGCCAGCCAGATCCATGGAAGTACAGGTAGAGGGTGTGTCAGGGGAGAGATGGAAGGGGTGTACTGAGGAGGGGGAGCTCCAAAACCTTCTGTCTTGCTGTTCAAGACTTCTGGGTACCTTGAGACACTCTGGCATCTCCTTCCTGGTTTTCAGGTGATGCAGAGTCTAGGCCTGTTGGAGGCTCAATTTTAGTATCAGCTGGATCTAATTAGCTTTGGTGGGGGCCAGGCCCTGTCACAGAGAACCTCATTGTTTTCAGCAACCTGGCAGGAATTTTTATCGTTCAGAAACTGAAACGTCCTGGCACTTGTCTTCTTAGCCTTGGGCTGTCCTTCTTTCAGATGCTAATCCATAAAACTATTCCAGGCCAGGCCTCAGATAAGGCTCAGGGTTAGGACAGAACCCAAAGTCGCCTTTCCCTCAGGAGCAAGATGGGTGTGAAATTAAGACTTGGAAAGAGGCCAAATGAAATCTAGAGCAACAGCTCAACTTGTCATATGTCAAATAGCTTAATTGGATAATCATCTGAAGAAGGGTTAGTAAAAACATACTGCTCTAGGTGTGAGGGACTAATCCAAAAAGACAGTTCAGTTCACCTGAGCCTACCTCAGCCTCTCCCAGCTGCAGGCCCAGAACTTGGCTAGATCATCCCTCCTGGGAAAGGCTCTGAGAACCTTATCTGGTAATTCCTTAGACCCTTGGCAGTCAAACCTTCCCAGAGCTGCAACGGCACCCCAGCATGAATGCTCACTGTATGTGCAACAGTCCTGAACTGTTGGGCAGCGTAGTAAGCATAGTGTAGTGGCTTTCTGCTCACACACTAGTCAGAGTATGTGGGTTGAGTCCTGGCTTTGGCAGTTATGGGCCATGTGAGTTTGGTGACTTATTTCTCTGTGTTGCAGTTTCCTCGTTCAGGATATGACAACAGTACCTACATCCTGAGGGAGTGATGATAATTAATTAAGATGTGTAAAGATTTCAGGATAGTACTCGGCCTTATGTTTTTTCCCAGGTCCCAATTCATCTTCAGGTTTTTTTTCTTGTGTTGTCACATCCATTTTCCACACTGTCCCCAGCATCTGCAGCACCCTCTCTACTTACACCTACAGGTGAGGAGGTTCTCTGGGTGCCAGTGGTTCAGGGTCCTGTTTTTACTCGTATTGAACCCCACTTTGCCACCACTGCCCTGTTCATTGCTGACTGCTTGGAGAACCACAGTGGGGTTTTGACCTGAGCCGGAAAGAGCTGCCCATCAGTCCAACTCCTTTGACCGCAAGAAAGAGACTACTTTGTGGGGCAGAAACCCTTGTCCATCTACTCTATCTCCTGTTTTACCACAGGGAACTAGAAGCTGTGCATTCTAACAAAGGTAGTATCTAGAGAAAAAAAATTCTTTTTAAATTCTATACTTTATTTAGTAAAAGCAGACACATACAGAGGTATTAGAGACATGGAAAAGTGCTTCAAAGAAAATAAAACAATGTAATCAGACCAGGACCAGAAGGTGACACAGAGCATGAAAGATGGGAAGGAAGCAGGAAGCGTGCTCCAGCCAGTCCGCAGCAGAACATGTCATCAAATGACTCATTCCTCTTGACCTCATAGCTTCCCGAGTTTCCCTTTACCACAACCACCACAGCAACACAACTCTTCAAAGGAGTCACTTTTTTTTTCATTGTCTCTTCCATGCTCCCCAGTGAAACATCCACAGATTCCACTAAAACGTCCTCAGTGACCCTCATGAGCCCCTCCCCCATGCATGATGCAATGGTGATGGCCTACTCTGGTGCAGGTCTGTGTAGGTCACCACAGCTGCAGTGACTTCGTGACTGCAATGGCCCTGTCATGTCCAGGAGTCACTATTTTGTAGCACTGTTCCTAAACCTCTGGCTCTTACATTCTTTCTGCCCCCTCTTCTGGATGTTCCCTGAGCCTTGGAGGGGATGTTGTAGGTGTCCCATTTTGGGCTGAGCATTCCACATACACAGATTGTCTTTATCCCAGTTCTTTGTATTCTTCTTCCACAGCCCAGCTCAAATTAGCAAAAGCTGTCATAGATCCATCATTACATGTTCCCTATGTAACAGATGATTTAGAAAAGTGATTTGCAGCCAGGTGTGTTGAAGTACTCCTGGGATCCCAGGAGGTGGAGGCAGCATGATCAGGAGATCACAGACATCTTTGGCTACACAGTGAGTTTCAAGGCCAGCCTGGGTTACATGAGAACCTACCTTAAAAAACTAAGGCATACCAAAACAAAACAATTGATTTATACATTGTATATAAATGTAAATTACACATCTGGGCACAGTGCACTGTACATTTGTGTTTTTTTTTTTTTGTCTTTGTCTTTTTGAAACAGGGTCTACTTGTAGCCCTAGCTGGCCTGGAACTCTCTATGTAGACCAGGCTGGCCTCAGTCTCACAGACTTCCATCTGCCTCTGACTCGAGATTAAAGGCATGCACTACCATAGTGCTGACCGGCTCACATTTATGTTTTCTGACAGAGGCTAATAACTGACTTCCTATGCTATTCCATTACCTGTAATGAAAAGCAGCTCTTTCATTGCTAGTGCTAGAATTATGTATTTGAAATTATCAGGCACTTTGCACCGAGAACCCTTAAAATCTTCCCATTTTTCCTGTGCAATATGTATGTGTGTAGGTATATATTTATATACTGTACTATACATATTTATATACTTTATGTATATA